ATGTTACATTTAGCACCAAGTATATTATTGTTGCTATCACCTTAGGGGCTGTTTACATGAGCCCGGTTAGCCATGCAGGCTGGCCCGGTTAACTAGGCTGAAGGCCTGGCTAGCCAGGAGGTTACCTGAGCTGATGACTTTACATGGAGAAATTTCAGCCCGGTTATCCGGGCATCCCATTTGACTCAAGTGAGATCTCGGCTAGGCAGATTCTTGTTAAATGATTTGTATTAAGCTGAGTGCCTCGGTTAACAGGACTAGTCGGGCTCATGTAAATAGCCCCTTAGTTATTAAGACTTGTTGGCAGAGTAAAATATATCAGGCAATAAAACTGGTTTCAACTTGCAACAAATCGGATGTTGGTGCATATAAGTTGTAGTGTTGTTTTTACAAAAAGAACCAAGTAAATGAAACTTTAACATCTAGTGTATTCTACTGAGTACAAGTTGTACAACTCCAAAAATGTAAACAACACTTTGATTTGATTTTAGTTCCATAAATCCATATTTTTTATCCATATTATCAATCCATATTTAATTTGATTTTAGTTCCATAAATCCATATAATTTAGTTCCATAAATTTGAGTTTAGATCCATAAATCTATTAAGATCTGCAACTGTCCTACATGCACAAATGCCATCCAATGTAATGACCTAGATGATAACAGGAAGCAGTTTTGTTTCTTTAAGGCCTTTGATCAAACAGAAAACACATTTGAAGGTCTTCATGTTCCAACAAATTGCTTTCTGGACTACATCAAGGAAGATACAAAAATTGTTTTTGAGGTTGTGCATTTACTACAGCTTGAAATTTGCCAATTGTGAACTTTCCAACACTAAAAAGAACAACAGAAAATATTTGAAGGTAGCACATCTTTAACCATATGCACTGGACAATATGCTGTGTTGCCAAAACAATTAAGCAATATAACTTCTACAAGTTATATTGCTTAAAATCTTTTACACCAAAGTACATAAGAACTGAACTGTAAAATACAAGGCTGGTGTTAAATAATTACTAAGATGTTGCTACACTGAGTAAATCTATACCAGGCAAGCTGAAAAATCAACTTGACCACAGTAAGAATGCAGCCCACAACCCCTGGTTTACAAGACCAATGCATTCCAGACTGAGCTACACAGTTTGAATGTGCAATATTTTATTATTTTGGAGCCTAATTAGTCTTGCTCCTTCACTAAGATGGTAAACCTAACAATGTTGATGGTAATTGTAACAGGTGAAATCATTAATTAAGATGGTGCTTGCTGAGTAAATCTACATGAGATTGGTGTGTTGCAATTTTGGGTCATGAACTGTAACTTCTGGCAAGTTAGTCTGCTCCACCATCAATTGCTTGATACAGATGTGAACAAATATCGTACTCATTACTGTTACCAGCAATCAAAGTTTAATATCAAAGTTACAAATTATAAACCAGTTCTGGTGAAAATGGACTCTACTCGCGCAATTTACTTAGTTTAGTCCAAAAACGTTTTTGTTAATTAAGAAAAGAAGCCCAATACAAAGACATCACATCCCCTTTCACTGATCAGGTATATAATTTAGTACGAATAGTAGTACGAATTATAAGGATATTCACAGTATAATATGCGCCTAAAATTAAAAAAATCAACCTACTGCGTTCTAAAAACAAGATATGACGCATTTTTCTTCAAGTTAAGTGGATTAGTAGTTGCAATAGTTTCAAACTACACTCAGAAAAACAACATATAAATGCGTATATATCCATCGGTGCCAAAACAGCACATACAGTTTGCTGCGTTTAAAATGACAATTTTAGCATCATTCAATAAGCTTTTATTATAATAAAATGAATAATCTACCTTTCTTTTGTACGTCCTGATAATTTCAATGACATCCACCATAAAATAACGACGATATACCCATTTAAAGTTATGAAATACAAGTTTCGCCATATTGGTTTATAATGTTTTGGACCAGAGTTGGTTGCTTTCAACATGGCGGCCAGGATCCGGAAGTAACATGTGCCGGCACAAAAACTTCAAAGGTTCCGACTCGAGTGAACCTTCTGCCCTTCTATTTTGGATCCAAACGAAAAATCAAAAATTTGCAAATCACACTCGACACTTGATACGCGATATCCCACAACTCATTGCGCGCGTGGCACTTGTCTTCTAAAATAGATACACCACAAAGCGCTCCCTAGTTTTACTATCCATGGGATTTTAATTAAAGGATTTAAAGTAATATTAAACTTCATTTCAAGTTTTTTCTGATTATAAGAATATTATTCTAGGTTGGAAAAATGTTATTCTTATAATAAGAAAAAAATTTGTCGAATGTTCAAATTCATGTCTTGTTCTCAAAACGAGATTTTTTCTTGAAATACTGCTTAAGATAAGAAATAGTTACTTAAGATAAAAATAATAATCTAAAAAATAAGAATATTATTCTAGACTAGAATTTGATGTTTTGCAGTGCACGATTTTATGTGAAATTTTACTTTTTACCGTCCATGTGAAATCCTTTAAATCACATAGGAAATTTCGCTTGTAACTTTATGTGAATTCCTTTCACATATGAAATTTCACTTTTTACTTCATGTGAAATCTTTCACATGTGAAATTTCAATTTTTACTTTATATAAAATCATTTGTCATGTGAAATTTCACTTGTAATTTCATGTGAAATCTATTCACATGTGAAATTTCACTTGTATTCAGTGGCGTGGGGGGGGGGGACAGGGGGATACCCCAATTATATTTTGCCACTTCCACATTTTGCCCCCCCCCAAAAAAAAAAATAAAATGTATGGTTTATAAGTTCTCATTACTCATTAGTCATTAGTGAATGCGCGTATAATACTGTTTTCGCAGTTTCAATATTATTTTGTAAGTCTCTGAATGGTAAAACTTGCCAATACTCCAATAATACGTTTCAAAAAAGGCAAAAAAGCTTTAGTTTTGCTGAGTTAAATTCTCAAACATGTAAGGCACTAATAAGATGAACGTATCACGAAATTTGAATAAACCACGTCGCATATACGGGGGCGAATATCCTAAAGGGGGTCGATATTCCTATGGTTGGGGAGTGGGGCGAATCTCCTTGAGGGGGGAAGTCCTATGACAACGGCATGGGCAAATAGCACTACCTATTTAACAATTCTATCTTGTCCCCCCCCCCAAAAAAAAATATGAGTTTGCCCCTCAAATCCCCCCAACCCCATTTTCAATTTCATGTGAATCCTTTCACATGTGAAATTTCATTGTAATTTTTAATTTCATGTGAAACCTTTCACATGTGAAATTTCATTGTAATTTTTCATTTCATGTGAAACCTTTCACATGTGAAATTTCATTGTAATTTTTAATTTCATGTGAAACCTTTCACATGTGAAATTTCAGTCGTAATTTCATGTGAAATCCTTTCACGTACATGCGAAATTTCACTTTGTAATTTGTAATGTTATGTGAAATCCTTATCTTTTCACATGTGAAATTTCACTTGTAATTTTTTCATGTGAAATCTTTTCACATATGTGAAATTTCACTTGTACATGTAATTTGTAATTTCATGAGAAATCCTTTCACATGTGAAATTTCAGTCTAAATTTCATGTGAAATCCTTTCACGTACATACATGTGAAATTTCACTTTGTAATTTGTAATTCATGTGAAATTGTCATCTTTTCACATGTGAAATTTCAGTCGTAATAGTTCATGTGAAATCCTGTCACATACATGAATGTGAAATTTCACTTTGTAATTCATGTGAAATCCTTATCTTTTCACATGTGAAATTTCACTTGTAATTTAATGTGAAATCCTTTCGCGTACATGTGAAATTTCACTTTGTAATTTGTAATTCATGTGAATTCCTTATCTTTTCACATGTGAAATTTCACTTGTAATTTCATGTGAAATTCTTTCACGTACATGTAAAATTTCACTTTGTCAGTTTGTAACGTTTATGTGAAATTCTTTCACATGTGAAATTTCACTTGTGATTTCATGTGAAATCTTTTCACATGTGAAATGTCACATGCGATTTCATGTAAAATTCTTTCACATGTGAAATGTCACATGTAATTTCATGTGAAATACTTTCACATGTGAAATGTCACATGTGATTTCATGTGAAATCTTTTCACATGTGACATTTCACATGTGATTTCGTGTGAAATCTTTTCACATGTTAAATTTCACATAAGATCACATAATTTCACATGTTATCACATGATTTCACATGAAATCACACGTGTGAATTCATGTGGATTTTTTGTAAGGGCGGTTCCTCTTATTGTGTTCACTGAATGCAACCACATTATGCTTGCGAGTTTGAAATTGTTATGCTAACACATCCGTGAAGCATTCATTATGCATGTGAGTTTGAAATTATTATGCCAACACATCCGTGAAGCATTCATTATGCTTGTGAGTTTGAAATTATTTTGCTAACACATCCGTGAAGCATTCAGGTGGTTGTGTTCATGGTGCATACTAATAGGGGGAAGCGGCTTTTATATATTTGTATTCTATATATGTGTGTATTTATATTTATGTACGTATTCGCTGCTTCGGGGTTTGCACCTTGCATGGGACTTCGCGTCTCGTTTGTGCTTATGCCATTTGAGTTCATATTAATTATACATAATATTAATTATATATAATTATATATAATATTAATTATATAATGTAATGTTCTCAATAAATATATTTGAATAAAATCTTAATTACCTAGCATCAATGAAAACCTGTAATTAGAGTCACGTTACAGTTTTGCCTGCTCTTTCAAATAGGAGAGTAAAAAATTCTTGCTATGTCACCTAAATCAAGATTGCCACAATCAAAGCTTCTTTGGTCATCTTTACTTTTACTTCGAGGTTTGTGCAAAATGTGTGTGACAGTGTAAAAGACATGATTTTCATTTGAAAGTCTTTTAGCCACAGTTTTAATGCATCAATATGATCAGATTTACAATATAACAATATACAAGATAACAATATAAAATCACATACCATATTGACAGGCATGACCAAAATACCCGGCTGGACAGCTACAACAACCTGACATTCTATCACAAATCCCTCTATGTTGACACAAACACTCACGTTCACAGTTTGGACCAAATCTTCCTGGTGGACATTCTAAAATATAGCGCAAGGTACATACATGCAGATCTCTCAGCAAGATGCGTTTGCAACATGCATGCTTGTATAGCAAGCTTGACAACAGGTTGCGAGAGAGTTGTCATTACATCAAATTAATTACCACAAGCTAGGTGATCACTAACTCATTGCAGGACGATATCAAGTTGTTAGAACAACTTGCTACAAGCCTGTTGAGTCAACAACATCTTGTCAACAAACTGGGAACAATCAATGCGAACACATCCTGATAACAAGTTGTCGAAACACGGAAACAGCATTGGTACAAGTCTGCTGCTGGTTTGTTACAAGTTATGCTGTCTTGACTGGACTGTACATGATAACATGACTGTCTTATTACCGTTGAAACAATTTTCAGTTTTAAACGTGTGGGTATACTGCAGTATTCTGCGATACATGCAGTGCCATGGCTTAAAGGCACAGTTCAACCTTTCGAATGATGGGTTTTAAGGCGCATTACAACCCTTTTATTTGAAAAAACTAACGAGGAAAATCAATTAAGCGTAATTCAGGATTAGTGATCTCAATGTTTTTAACATTTTTTAACATTTTTAATGCTAAAAACATTGAGTTCACTGATCTTGAATTATATGCTTGCCTTAATTAATATTCCTAGTTAGTTTTTTTCAATTAAAAGGGTTGTAATGAGCCTTAAAAACCACAATTCAAAACGCTGAACTGTGTCTTTAATTGTGTCTAAACGGCCTGAAACTGGACTTCAAACCTAAACTTTGATAGTGAAGAGCAACAACGACTTTTTGATTGAAAATAATGTGGAAGTGTGTTACTTTTTTTATAATGCATGATGATCTATTCCTTTTCAAATGATGGAATTTTCGAAAGCAAATTTATTGTACATTTCTAGACCAGGAGATGTTGCAGAAAATATAGAGCAAATCAAATTTGTGAGAAAATTTACTCGTCTTTTTGAGTTAAGTTTCGAATTTACTAATTTTTTTAGTAAACATTTAATTTCTTTGCCTAAAAATTTTGACAATATTTCTCAGTAGTGTGGGAGCATTATTTTGAACAATTATAAAGTCAAAATACCCAGGTTTTTTACAGTGAATCAGTTATACTGTAGCCTTACCGCTTTCGCACAATTCTCCTGTCCATCCAAGCCCGCAATTACATCGACCAGTGGCCTTGTCACAGAGCCCACCATTCTTACAATTGCACTTCTCCTTACAATTCAGACCAAAAGTACCAGCGGGACATTCTGTGGAGAACAATTACAGTTACCATATTTAACATTCAACTAACCAATTTAAACCGAAAAATTCTTACTTGCTTTACCTAAGTGGGGCCGGCATGAGGGTTAAGATTAAAATGGGCTTTCGATTAGGATTAGGGTTGGGATTAGGGCTAGAAACAGTAAGTCTAAGTCTCCAAATATTACACTCTGCCGTTCAAAGTGATTTACTGATCAGATTGAAACCTGTTAAATTCTAGTGCTAGTCCTAGTTAAATTCTAGCAATGACGGTATTTCTGGAAGTACCCATCCTTAGATGCAAGCAACGGTATTTTCAGTCCTACCTTCATTACATTGTTCACCGACATGACCTGGTCCACATGTGCAGGTACCAAACAGACGCTCACATGTACCATTGTTCTTGCACATACATGGTGACGAACACAGTTGACCAAACCAACCTTTTGGACAAGCTGCGAGAGTAGAACATATATGTCGTAGATAAGAGATAAATGAATAGACTATAGATGATAGATGAATAGACCATAGCTGATAAATGAATAATTGACTATATACAGGGTGTATTAAAAAAAAGGTAATCGAACTTCAGCGCGCTATTGTATCCGAATTACTCTGCGTATGAACGAGATTTTAACACATTCGGAAAGATCGTGCTTTTAGCTGTTGAATGATATCTTCTTCATGCCATATGGATAAAAAATGAGCAAATACGAATCTATAAAAAATGTTGGTCAGAATCGCATATTTTCACCGTTGAGAGTTGGGTCTAAAACCATTGAAAATGAACTCCCTTTGGTACTTAAGTTGATGAATTTCACTTCATTAAACTACGCACATATTCATAATTATTATTAAGTAGGAATAAATCTTAGCTAAGCTACGACACGTTAGTCATTAATTGCTTTTTCTTTTGTTATGCATTGTTTTAATTAGGCACAGAAGTGAAAATATGCGATTTTGACTAACATTTTTGATCGGCCTCGTACATGCTTATTTTTTCTCCACTTGGTATGAAAAGCATGTCATTCAATAGCTAAAAGCCTGATCTTTCCAAATATGAAAACCAATTGTTCATACGCCGAGTGATTCACGTATAATAGCGCGCTGAAGTTCGATTACCTTTTTTTTATACACCCTGTATATAGATTATGCTCGGTAGATGAATAGACTATAGATTAAGGATTGTGGATGAATAGACTATAGATGATAAATGAATATAGATCACAAATGATAGATGAAAAAACAATAGATTATTAATAAGTAGGCAATAGATGAGCGAGGGAACGAGTTTGACAGTTCCTGTCGATGATATATAGACCCTAGAATATGAACAGACTGTAGATGATAGAACCAACTAGAATTGATTAAGTTTTACGATGGACCATAATATCTACTAAGTAAATATATTTTGTTGATGTGATGAGCGACCAGCATACCAAAACAACAGGCCACTTTAATTCAAATTTTGTTCACTTACGCTTCTCACAATTTGAGCCAATCCAACCAACGGCACAGCGGCATCTTCCAGTAATATGATCACACTGAGCGTCATTTTTGCAAGTGCAGTTATACTGACATTTATGACCAAATTTCCCCTCAGGACACTCTGAAGAATAGAAGAGGAAATTTAACATTTAGGTATCTAAAGGTTGAAAATGAACGAGATAGGAAGCCATCGATTCTGGGGTCGGTTGTAGCTACGATGGATAGTGAATTTCTTCAATCTATATGTGAGAATGCCTGCAAATCTGTGGAACCGCGAGTGTTGAATGCATAATATAGTTGTAGGCTAAACAAAACAGTATTTACATCGTTTCGGTAATCTTTATCATTTTAAAGAATACTTTTACACATATTGTTAAACAAAACCTTGTGGCTTCCTTCGTATTTGGCGAAACCGCGACTTCGTTTGGTACAAAAATTCGCTCGTTTGCAACCGAAACGAAACGGGGCGCCATTTTGTTTTTGTCCGGAGACGAATAGTCCAAGGATATTCGCAGCCGAGCAACCAATTAAATTGCTCGAAAAGCGCGATATTCAGAACTTAAAGAAGAAATGCAATATATCTTCTTCGAGAAAAACCACATCTTCATGGCCTTTTTTGCTGTTAAAGTTACCGAAAATGACGTCTAATCATGCAGGCAAAGCAAATCAGTTTTCTTTTGATTCTTGCCACACACATGCCTGATTCGACGTCACCTTCGGTAACTTTAGTTTCTCTTTTTTGTTTGTTTTATTTGTTCTTCTAGATTATTACAAACTTAAATAAGTTTTGTCTAACGCTCATCTAGTTTCTCTCTAAGAAGATGTATTGCATTTTGTTTTAGAATGCTGCGAATTGATAGGGATATACAACTACCTGAAAAATACAAGGGGAACTTGTATTTTTCGTCCCTGGATGGAGGGATTTGGTTAACGCGTGTTTATAACGTTTTGACTGTTTTCCAGTTAACCTCAGAATAGAATGGGACAAGGCAACTAAGCATTAGACAACGCATGCCTAGTTACTCAATTTCTAGTTTACGGAAACATAGAATAGAACGAAGGAACGCAACTACTATAAGAATAGAACAAAGGCAACTAAGCATTTGATAACCTACAGCTTACACGCCTAGTTATGGTTGTTCAATAGTTTAAGGAAACAGTAATAAAACAGGACAAAGGTACGGTAACTGATTATCCTCTAGAACATAGTAACTTTAAACTACTATTTATATGACATACTCTCACTGCACCGCTCGCCAGTAAAACCCAAGGAGCACCAACATGTTCCATTATAAGGATTGCACTTTGAATGAGATTCACAAGGACATCTTATGTCACAGTTTGGGCCGTAAAATCCATGTTTACAAACTAGAAATACATGAAAAATTTTTGTTAAGCCCGAATAAATGGGAATTACAATCACAAACTCTTTCTACTTACTAGACCTAACTCTTCGCTTTCATCCAAGTCCAATAAGCGAATTAGTGTCAACCGCATGTGCATATTATATACTGGGGATATTTCTTGTGGGGATAAACATGCATAGCATGTAGCTGAGCCTGAGGTCGAAAGAATAAAAATATGCACTAACAAACTAACAAACTCAAGGGCAGAATATAAAGCGGTGTCAAACTTGGCAGGCACGGCAATTTTACACCCACAGCTATACATCACGGTTAAATGATTCGACTGCAATTTTACCCCGACAGAGAACGCGCCATGCATTTGGATCGGCAGTTGACCACCAGTTCAACAGCATATCAAATAAAAAGTTACCTCTAACACATTTCCCAGTGATATGGTGACATTTCTCATGATTGCCTGTACATTTTGGACACCGATACTTGCAGTCTAGACCATACATGCCTTCATCACATTCTGAAAAAGAAACGAAGGCAATTGATTCAACATTTATTTTAAACCACCTTAACATGCCCATTCGATGGTATGCGCGGTTTATAATTTTGATTCAAAATATCCAAAAACCTCAAAAGTAAATAACTTTGCAATGTGACATCAATCAGCATGACAGTTAAAAAATTCTGAAAGTCTAAATTTCAACATATACAGGGGCATAAAGGGGTAAAGCGGGGTGTAAAGCCGATACAGAGAGACTAAATTCTATCACCTACTTTCTGTACAGTTCGGTGGTTTCCATCCTGGCGGGCAGACACACCTTCCAGTGACAGCGTCACAATGAACTCCAGGATTGCATAAACATTTGTGCACACAATATTCACCAAACGTTCCTTCGGGACAACCTGGAAAAAATAAGTGTAAATTTATGTTATCGATCCATATAATAGTGGTTCGACCTATTATCAATGCATTATCTGTTGTTCTTCCACCATTGAATGATTTATAATATAAGCCATTGCTAAGCTGTTCATTCCATACTTTAACGTATGTTGTTCTCATATAAGAAAAAACATAAGACATAAGAAAACGTACGTAAGTCTAAAAGTAAAGTAAAAACACATTGCATGAGTTCCAGAGGCGTAGGAAGCATCAAAAGATTGGGGGGCACCGACTTCGAAGGGCACTTTTGGAATAAAAAGGGCACCTAAAAAATTTTCCTGGTAATGTTGGCGACGGGAGTGGCGAGGGGGGGGGAAGAAATTCCAATCATATTATATTTCATGCTTAATACAAATACATTTGCCAAAATTTCGAATTGCAACGTACAATCAGCGTTTTTTGACCAAAATTTTTCTAAAGACATCGAAATTTCCTATAAATTTCTTTCATTGGATTTACTTACATGACGCAGATTAGTATTTACAACATAATTAGGTTGTGTAAAAGGGCATACGTAAATGGGTTCAGGAAACAAAAAGGGAACCTTCGATGTTAATATAGTATTTACGGCAACATTAGCTTGTACAAAAAGGGCACTTTTCATCACTATGCCCCTGTTTGGGATTTGGCACTTTGCCACCGGAGAGAGGGCACTTTTTGTGTCTTCTGAAAACTTGGGGGGCCTTGCTCCCCCCCCCCCGCCCGTTCTTACGCCCCTGACGAGTTCTATTGACTACAATCGATAAATCGCTTGTTGATTGCAATGGTCTTGATGTGTCGATTTGCAAAGAAAAACCTATATGGAAATAACTGTTTTTGATATACAATTAAATACATTTTTCAATTTCTATACACACCTAGACTGAACATGCATAGATTGCACATGCTAACGTGTACTGAATATCAATGAGGCGAAATTATTTATAAGTAGTATCATGGTAGTGAGGTGTATTAGCCGTTAAACTGCCCGCTCGATGAGGGTCATAAAGTAAATTCCTGAGGGCCGCAGGCCCGAAGGAATTTACTTAATGACCCGAAACGAGTGGGCGGTTTAACGGCTAATACACCTCATGATCACTACCATGATATTACTTTGTAATATCATGGTTGTCGAAATTTCCTCCTATCAGTCGTGACTTGATAGTTGGCTGTGATTGTAATATCGGTAGTTTAAACGTGTATATTAACAAACAATAATGTAAGATTATTTGAGGTGTTTGAATTAAAAGTTGTTGTGGTTTTGAACGCGTGTGTATGTTGTTTTGACCTTATATGTAGATCACATTTGCATGCCAGGTGAGAAGAAGCTAATACTACCTCCTATGATATCATTGAAGGTTGTATTAGTTCTAATACGACCGCTAGATTGTATAAATTAATCGAAATGAGGTAATTTAGTTATTAAATTAACCTGAAAAGACAAAAGAAATTTCGACAACATGATATTATCCAAGATATAGTTCGCAAACCTTTTGATTTATTGCTAGAATTTTGAGGTTAAGAAAATGCTAAACGCCCAAAAACAATATTGGACGACACAAGCATATTTAAAAACACTTTATACTTACTATTTGAGTTGCAGATAGATAAATTTGACCAATGTTTGTTTATACCCAATTCACAACTTTAGATAACTCACATGCCTAGTTACTATTGTTGTAGTTTACCAAGGCATGGAATAGAACAAAGTTAACTTTAGCTTTAGAATTACCTACATGAGTGAACAAACTCTTATACATAATTCTAAGTTGTTCTATTTTATGTTTCTGTAAACCAGAACAATCGTAAACCAGAACAATCTAGTTCTCCAAAATCTGAAATGGGTAGAAACGATATAAAACAACGTTAGTCAAATTTATCTATAAGTCAAAGTGAAGCGAAACAAATTTTAAAAACTGGGTTGAAAATTCTTGACTGAGCCCATGATGCCATGCGATGAATAATTAGTGACATGGCCATTCTTCTGTTACCATTTCATGGCAATTTCCGGTCGTTAATCAACCATGTAGCAGGCTTAGGTAACCAGTATAAAGGGAAGCGCAGTAATCGTATTTGCCACCTGCATTTTCTAAGTGTATGATATATTATGTACGGATCCACGCAGACTCACCTATACTACAGTTTTTCCCAGTTTTCCCGGCGGGACACGTGCATTTGCCAGTCACGGGATCACACTTGCTTGCACAGTCGCAAACCTCGAGACAACTGAAACCAAACCGATCTGGTGGACATTCTACAAACCATGGTATACACATTATAAGAGTTTGCAAGAGTTGATAATAGTTAATAAGAGTTGATAAGAGTTGCAAATCTCGTCGACGAATTGGACATGAAGTCTCGCCATCTTTGAGCTGGTTCAAATTTTGATGAAAATTTTTGCTGCACGTGGTCTATCCATTCAGTTATCATTAACTCTCATGCAAATGCTGTTCTCGTTTGACCAGTGTAGGAGAGTTGAAAAAACTCTCATGCAAACTCTCGCTTTCCAACTCTCATTAACTCTCACCCCCGCGTTTGACAAGGACTTTAGGGGTAGTTTACATCAGTATAGTGTAATACCACGATACGATATTGGTCGTGGATTTGGTAATAACAGTGGTACTGGTTGTACTAATCGTGTGTGAATTCAGGGATGGTAACGATTCGTAGGAAATTGGGAATGGTGCGGATCTTCAAATGATTGATATGTAGTAAAGAAGAGGTTTCAGGATCTGTAACGTATGGGGGGAGGGGGGGAGATTACTAGGCGGTATTAGAAGGAGCAGCAAGGCGGCAAAGATTGACAAACGAAATTAAAAGAAAGCAATTGATTGCGCTGAAGCTCAGAGAGTCGTTAGAGATGATATGGCCACGTAAGAGAATGGAGGAAACGGGTTTGTCAGATGGGCAGGGCAGAGCAAGGTACCTGAGAAAGAAATGGATGGATTATGTTTAAGATGATGGTAAAGTAATGTATCTGAACAAAGTTCATGACCGAATGGAATGAAGAACGGCACCCAGGCGACCCGACTCCCCATGAGAGGACAAATGGGATCATGATGAATGCAATACAAAAAAGGTTTATATGGGGTAATTTCAAAATCGTACCTTGTTCACAGCGTTTCCCCAATCTTCCCGGAGGACACAAGCAACCACCTGTGATTGGATCACAACGTTTCTCCAGCGGACAATTACACATTCCACTACATTCCTTGCCATACATACCGCTCTCGCAAGCTGGAAATATGGGATAAAACCGAATGAATGAAATTAATTCTACATAGAAACTAAGCTAACTATATTTCAATTCTCAAATGTTCATCTCAGAGGAACAATATTATACTCTATTAAATGTACATCTTTGGTTTATTCCTTGCAACTATAAACTTTGTGCAGCAGGGACTAAGAGCAGAAAAGTTAGTTATTATGTATTAATATTCAAAGCACCAACAACAATCTTTTATCTGATTTATAATACGAGGCGATACCCACATGTTTCATCACATCTATTAAAAACACTCGCTGTGAGTGTTTTGAATAGCTTCAGAAACAATCTATTTGACCTAGTAATTTCGAAAATCAACATTGTCTAACAGCAGAAATTCAAAGATGAAGTTTATGTAAATCTGATTTCTTTTTGTTTTTTCCCTCAACAATTATTGAGTTTTTGAAATTTATAGATGTATCTTCCCTCAATTTCAGGTCTTCCCATCATTTGGTTTATCAGAATTGCAATCCCCCTTTTTTTCATCTGGAACAATCTCAGGTCCCCAGTTTCTAACCCATCCCCCCTCCCATAAATAATGAACAGTCCCTATATTTCGTTAACCGAAACACACTATAAAAACTAAAAGTCACCGATAACGAAAGTCAAAGTTCAAAGTTCATTTTTTTATTATAATATAATTTGCACTTCAAAAACGAAGACATCGTGCTATTTTGCTGTTGTATTTGTGTCCAATGTTTTACAAAAATGTTTTTCGACGTAACAACATTAGGCGACTTAAAAATGGCTTTTTTGTGGTGGTAACTTTTCTTCAAACCTTGTCCTAAAATACGTGAAATAGCGTTCTAATGAATCTAAAAATTCAAACTTTTCCCGAGGTAGCATACCTCCGGACCCCCCTAGTCTCCTCGAGCCTTTACGCTCGCATTTCAAATACCATAAAAAAATTTGGGCCCCCCAAAGTTTAGACCTGGCTACGCCACTGTCCCACAGGTAAGTGAGGATCGTTGGTGAGCCAATAAATTTAGTAAAAACACAATTTTTATTGTCCGTTGGGACGTCGCATTATCAGCAGTAAGTGTTTTTCCGCGATTGACGTCATTATTTAAAAAGTCTATTCATTCATTCAACTCGAAAGCCTAAATGCTTCTTTGATCATCGTGCACGATTAAAATAGTTGCATACATTTTGTTGTTTAGTATATATTTTCCAATTTCTAATCTTTACTTTTTACGTTTGTGTACATTTAAAAAATAGTACGCGTGAACAAATTGAATTGACTGATTGAATCAATCTTAATATAAACTAATAGTGATTAATGAAATGCATTTTATAAATAATTGTGTTTGTTTAATTAATTGATCGAAAGCAATGGCATATACAATAGTCTCGGTTAATCTCGATTTTGTCGATGTTAAATTCATATATGTGTTTGCATTTGTGCATGAGTTCTTATCCAAAATATTAGCAATCTGCCAGTTCCTGAAAGAGACCTTGTAACAATCCATCGCTATCAAGCTTTCCTTTAAGTATCAAAATATTGGAAGTATGGAATATAAAAGTATGACATTATCTAAAGTATAAAGAACGTTATGATTAATTTGGCCCTCAACTTCTATTTAGAGCCGCCCCCCTAATCTAAGTCCCTAGTTAAGAACCACTTAACTAGCCGCAGGGGGTAAATAGAGGAAACACAGCAAGTAAAACGGTGTAATAGTTGGTAATCAGGTCTGTTAATTAACGGTATAGTAGTTGGTAATCAGGTCTGTTAATTAATTTCAAGACGATTGTCGATGCGAGTTCGTTATTTATTTGTTCATGAACTCAACGCAATATAACACTTAACTCGACTTAAAGTGCCACTAACCACAAATATGATTTTTGGTATGCGGAATACTTGGGTCATTCTAAGATATGTAATAGATCTTTATGGTATGAGAAACCGCATCTTTATCATTTTTTTTTCACTGTCAAAGTTTCCGGATATGGTGGTAATTTGCTTTGTTTCTTATACCGCCATCTAATGACACCAAATGCGAAAACGTTCTTGTTAGAATGACTCCTATATTACTCATACCATACAACATTTCATATTTGGGTAATAGTGTTACAGCAACTCATGGTGGCAAGTGGCAAATAACTTTAACGAAATACGTTTGGTGGTAAATACGTATAAACATTTACTCGCCCCTGTACCAGGTGGCACAAGAAAGTTCTCCTGTTTGATTTGGTATAATTTGTAAAATCATGAATAATTAATAAGGCTACAAACAAATCACGACGCGGTATTGGTCACATGTGTACGCTTAGAGGGATGTTTATGAAAGGTTACCGTTTAACACAGGTTAAATTTCGGCAGTTCAGCTATCCGACGGATGAAGTTAAACGGTGTCTTGAGACCGTTTAAATCGTTATCTGACGGATAAATTCATGCAGGCGCATAACACGTCTTTTAGAAGATGATATAAGTCTGCAAACAAACTACAACTATCATCCCAGCGTGAAAAATGACGTTGATTCAACGTTGAGTCAACGTCAGACATTGAAAAGTGATTGAAAATGCGAATTTGGGTCGACGTTACTCTGCTGACGTTGAAATAATGTTGATATTTGGTTGCAAATCTCGTCAACTATAATTCAACGTTGAATCCACGTTGAAACAACGTTGAGATTACTTCACAGAATCCTTTTGACAGATATCTTGCAAAACACTGCTGAAGATGAATCTGATTTAGATTCGAAATATACAGTTTTAATAAATTGTGTGTTAATATTATGCACTCTTTATTCGGAATAACTTTTGTTTTATTACTTAACAGGTTGACCGTTGTATAATCAACTATGAATTAACATTGATTCGACGTCTGTAGGCTGCTGTTGAACTAACGTTTGTAAAACGACATCAGAGCAACGTTGTCCTACCAAATTTCAACGTTGAAACAATATCGTGTGCTCGGTGGGCTGTTTTCCGCGACACGGCAGGTGTTGGATAACACTGAGATTTCGAGCATCAGGAAGTTTTCAACAACCCTGACACATTTGATGCATGTGTAGTACATATTCGTATTGTTTTCTGTCCTTACCCTCTTCACAGTGAAATCCTTTTCTGCCCTCGCCACAGTCACATTTGCCAGTGGCATGGTTACATGTCTCCCCTCCAACACATTCGCACAGCTCCTGACAGCCTACACCAAACGTTCCCACCGGACACACTGCAAAAAAACACATTCGGGTAAAAATTCAGCAATCCATTGTTGCCTTCTTTGTCTTTTAAGTACTATTTAAAACATGAGCGTTTTATCAGATATAAAGATACGAGGCGAAGCCGAGTATCTTTAGGCCTGATAAAACTCGTGCTGTGAATGCTTTAAATTGCTTCAAAAACGATCTATCTAGTATGTTCATTGGCAAAATAATTTTCAAAAAATACGTTGTGTAAGTCGAGACAATCAAAGTTAAAGTTTAAGTAAATCAAGGGAAATCTCTATCACATATGAAGATACGACACATGATTTTTCTTTGTGTTTTCCTCATGAATTATTAATGAGTTTTTGAACTAAATAATAGATGATTGACTTCGGTTTTCTCAAGAAATGAAGAATGATCAAGCCCTCAGTTTGTGTTATCAACCGAAGCTGATGGCCGATGACTTGATAATTCTTCATATCGTGCTCGACCTCATTCAATAATTGTTAAATAAACAAACATTTTATATTACAAAAGGAAAACTTGAATTTAGATAAAACATTAGGACAAAAAAGTTAACTTGGAAAAATGTCAATTACAGTGTACAAAAAACTAATAGAAGCGAGTAGTAGCTACTGGCATACTAATACCAGGACAAACTAATATATAATTAGGAAGGAAAAAGAGTGCAAAAAAGTATTCATTATGGATTTGGATGAAGACATCAGGATGGATTATTGGATTTGACTTTAGATAGTAGATAAGGCTTTTTGTATTCTCGGATGTAATGTCAATGTTGTCATTAAATTTTATGGGTTTTTATTTAGTTTGAAAAGATCTTTAAACGAATCTAACCAGGAACTTAGATTGATTTAGCCGAGATTTCCTGGTTGAAGGAAACCTTGTTCTAACCTTGTTCCCAGGGTCTTCCTCTACGCTGGAGGTACAAGCTTGGAAGAGAGAGCCTGGGAACGAACCAGGCATGCTGTACATGTATTGTTCCCAAGGTTTATTCTCAGAAAATACTTCTGAGATGAAGTGAAGTGAAGTGGAATAAAATGTACGTGAATATTCTATACTTTACAGTACAGACTTTAAGTGCTGCGTAAAGGTAATGTTATAGTGAAAGATTTTATATCGATATAATTTGAAGGTCGTGATACTATTTTTACAACTCTTATTATGTACTCTCTACATTCTGTAACGAGTATAAAGCATTTTCTGCTAAACCTCACAATACATATCACCGCATCTGCACATTCAGTAACGCTAGAAAATTCATTTTATTTACATGAAGTACTAAACTTCTGAAACAGTGGCATTGTTGTGAGCAAACAGCCATTGTTAATTTTAACGTGAGTTCTGAACCGTGCTACTACTTCTGTGATCTCATTGAGGTAACTTCTGGGCCGCTTACACTCAGTACACTTCTTGTGGAGTGTCCATACTTGCACACAAACATGAATGAATTAACCAGACTAACTTCCGTTAAAAAGCGAGAAAAAATGCCAGACTACTAAGCAAGAAATTAGCTCCGTTACAAAACGTGAACCAATCTCATACAATCAGTTCTTTAGAAAGCAAGACTTCTTCGGCTCTTGTTTTTTGTATTACTGTGTTCGATCGTATTTTGTATTACTATTCGATCGAACTTGATTCAGAGCAGTATCGGGCAAAATGTGGATAACCAAAAACGAGTTGAGATCGATTCGAGATCGATTTAAACTAGACCACCTCGAAAGGTGGACTGGGATGGAAGCCAGGCTAACTGGAATCGCACGTGTCACAAAAATAGGGGGCTGACAATAGCCAGAAGCATGCCATATTTGAGAAATGGCAGGCGAAAATAATTTCGAAGTCAAAAATAAAATGCATGGGTGGCAAATTTCTTCCGATTATTTCACTTCATTTTCTTACGAAGTACTAGTACTGTATTTCTAATTTGCTAATAATGATTAGTGCGAAGGAGATAAAGTGTACCATGCAGAGGTAAAACTTAGAAAAGACAGTTTAGAGTAGAGAAAATGACCTTCATAAATGATTGAAGTACATGAAGAAAATTAACATTCATTTCTATCACAGCGCGCAAAGTGGGACGATTTTGCAGTTTAAGATGCAAATTGCAGGCCATAACTTATTTGATCTGCCGAAAAGAAAATATATTGTCAGGCGATATATTTATCTTTTTTTCTATTTTGAGCCCTGCAAGAATATTTGCTCAGGGACAAGAGAAGATTAGAAGTCACTATATTTGCTCATAAATTGGTGACTCCTACAGTAATACAGAACAAAATAGAGTAGCACTTGTACTTTGATTGTAACACTTAATCTGGTTGAGTAGGCGAGTGAGCTGTAATATTAACGGCCCCCTGCAGTGTCATATTGAAAAAATTCCTTTGGACATAAGGACTCCCTGTTTAAATATTTTTCATAAAAAATATCCAGTCTTGTAGCCAACCGTGTCGAACCGTGTGTTTGCTAAACAAGAAGATTTTAAGGATTGTGTTGAAATCCAAGAAAATTATACCAAAACATCAACTAGAATTTTATTTTATTCATTGTCATTGATTACAAAGAAGCTATATAAAAACAACTATTGGCAATAAAATCATGAAGTCCAAACAATATTTCCTTCATATTATTAATAGAAATAGGCTTAATATACAAAAATTGGAATCTTTTAAGAGGCAATGTTTTTCTATGTCGCGTATATTTGCGATGAAAACTGTTCAAACCGAAAATCGTTTTGGCGTACTTCTCAAAATTACTTCGTTTTAGCTCTATTCTCTAGTTTATCCAGTTACCTACCTTTTTAAAATGCATTTGCCGGTTGAGAAACATGAATAGGAAAAATGTGTCAATTAAGATACAATAATCAATGTACCATCAACTTATTGAACTTCAAACATAATTTTCTCCTTGGCATGCTATCTAAAATCTCTTCAATTACTAATATAAAGCACTAAGCATACTTTTTAAGAGTGTTTGCCGATTGAGAAACGTATCGAAGAATACAAAATTCTGAATGTAGTCATAACTGCAAGTGGTATATATATTATGCTCGTTAGTTTTGAGCGCGTGTTGCGTAACATAGAAAAAATGTCCTCTTAATTTAATGCATTTGCATGATAAAATCTATAATGTATCTTTTAACACATTTTTAAAATTTCAAATTTTCACTTAAAGGGTGTTCTTGTGCCCCATGCATAGGCATAACAAAGACGACCTTAGAAGATTGAATGATATTTTCGTTCTTAAACGCGACCGATGGTTTTATATATGTTTTGGTGTATTTGATAGCAAGCTTCGATGCCAGCATTTTGTAAAAGGTTACGTATTCTTTACCAATTGCACCATTTGACCGAAATTAAAAGCCTATATTTTTAAGACTAGTTTATCACTAGGGTAGTGAGTGCTGCCTGTACAGATTTTGGTATAATTTTTGTGTAGAGATGTTGTGGTTAAACCCATCCTTCAGCAAATTACTGGAGAAAAGTTTGACATGTGATTCGCTAACACTGAAGATGGAACACGATGTGAAGGCAAGGGCAATGTCCATTTTTGATGTTAGAGTGGCACATTTGAATGCCTCGTCAAATGGATCTCAACCTACTGCATGAGGAAATCCTGTTGAGTCAGGAAAATTAAAAAACAGGTCTTACAATGCAAGAGTTATGGAAATAGAGTAAACTGTTTTTACACCATGCAATATAGTCATATAGTTACATCTTCTCAAATTGGATAATACATTTGTTTTGATGTAATATTGTAAGTATAGTTCATTTTTATGCCCAGATTTCGGACAGCTGGTCTTGTATTCGGACACCTAATAATGGTCGCTTCTCTAGAAGGTAAACTATTAACATGTATTTTGATATATATTAAAATTTATATGCTTATATTAGAGAATAAATGTTAGATAAATCTTTAAACCATATTCTAGTGCAGGTTGATTTATGTCAGGTTCCTTGCACGTAAAGTTCGCCTATATAAAGATATAAAATGCTCCGAACAGTATTAGTACAAATTCACAATTTGTCATAATTGGGGAGCAGTCCACATTAAAGTAAGATTATATACAAGATGTTTGGTATTTGGTTCGACGGCGACTTGTGGAGAACAATCACGGAGTATATCACGATGAAGAGTGCTAGGAGATTATACTTTTTGAAGACTTTAAAGAGTTATAATGCGTCAAAAGAAGCTTAGTTTGAAGACATTGTAGGCTATGTAGCGGTAGTATACGATCAATGTTGGAATATTGAGCCATGCAAGTATAGAACGGTAATTTGACAAAAGAACAACATCTATATAACCTTCCTTCAGCTAGAAAATCCAATGTAATATTATATGGATATTTTCGAATAATCAATCTCCTGGAGTATACTGCCTAATCGCACTGCCGTAAACTACACGCCATATTGAGAAAATAGTTTGGACTGACTCACTGACCTTTACTCAAAGTATTCACGTTTGCACAAAACTACAGCAAAAAATATATGGAACAAGGTTCATGACATATTGGGGAATCATATGAACCTACTGTTTTTTTAGTCATGTTTTCGTTATTTATGATAAAACAATATTCCGTGCGAATATTGGTACTGTCCGAAAACTGGGCAACATACTATATTGTTTGTATACGCGTGCTGCGCCAACTTGCCCCGAAATTCAACTATCTGAAAAATACAAGCAAAACTTTTTGCTTGTATTTGACAGATAGTTGAATCCCTCTCAATATCCGCAGCTTTCTGAATGTTATTGTCACTACCTACGCTGCCGCTGGCACAGACCGTTCGAGTTTATAACTCTTGCCCTGCGCCATATACACTCCGCTATGGTTAAGGACAGTAAGTAAATCCCCCCGCCGACACTACTATGAAATGCATTGAAATAACTGTCGCTTTTTCGCAATTATTGACACTTAATGTGGTCCTATAGACACCGTATTTTAATTTCTTTACTGCTGTTGGAATGGACAGTTCGGACCTGCTGTGTGGAGAGAAAGAAGGAAGATATATTTGTTTTGATGTTATCGTGGA